TAAATCACTCGTACGCACAATTTAAGAACAAATCTGTGCGTACGAACGGTTCTTGCATGAGTCTCATTGTTACAACAAAGAAATAATTTACCAAACACAAATTTTCTTAGCTTTAGTGATAAGTAAATATTAACGGAGCAAGCAGCTGCTCCCCCTTCTTTTTACTGAAAGGTTATCAGTCCCATTTATAAAACAAAAGCAAACAGTGTTGATTTAATCTACTTTCTTGATTGAAAACTGTATATTGATTCAAATTTTAATAAACCCTCCTTCCCCAGCTTTAAGTCTTTAACTTGTTGTTTAATCATCAAAAATCACATTATGCAGTTGCATCAAAATGCTAAATTCAAAATGAACTTTTTTCATAAATCTGAAGTCATTGGTTTGCAAAACTGCAAGATTTCTACTCTTTTTCCAAATGCATCACTGTGGACTCCTGATGTGACCAAGTTTCCTTCTAGGATGGTTTCTAACTTTCTGAGCATGAGCGTGTGCCAGAAGTGATTTGTTCCATCTGTCCTTTTTGACCAGAATTCTCATCCCCAATGTAGAATCCTTATTTGTTGGCCATTGGCTTGTGATAAGCATACTTAAGCAACTGTGTGCAAATTTGAAAGCTTAAACAAACATTGTTTACTTTCTTCTGCTCGGCTTTCCACCCAGTCATCTGGTTTCACTGGCTTATTAGTTTCTGTATGTTTTAGCTTGTGTTTGTTGTTTTTATTATTTTTTTTACAAAATCCTGGCTAACACAGCTGCAGGTATTTTAGCAAACATTTTACGTATATGTGTATTTGTATATTTCTACCTGTCATTAACATATGCTTCATTTTTTTCAGTATTTGTGGGTAAGGTTTTCTTTATAATATTTTTTTTTGTTTTGAAGCTTTTATATAAAACTGTTTTTAAAACCATGCGTCTGACCAGGACCCACTGGAAGAAGAGGTGCTGTACGCCATTTGCACATCATAATTAAATAAAGGGTGAGTACATAAAAATACACACATAATATATGAACATGCACATGTTTAAAATTAAAAATTAAGAAAAAATCAGCTAAAACAACAGGGTCAACTAAAATAAGGATGTTAAATAATAAACAAAAAAGTTACAATAAAATAAACAATTTATTTTTTTGCTTCTTGCATTTTTTTTTTTTTTGGATCATTAATACATTAGTGTTGTATGTTTATAAAACAAGTAACTTAGTCAATTGAAATGCATAATGTTTAGGACACACCATTTTTTTTTACTTGTTTTAACAAATTCTCAAGATTATTCAAAGTTTTGACTCCTATAATTAACTTTGTGTTATGGATTTAATTTGAAGATGAAAAAAAAACCTAATTGTGCATCAGACCCCAGGATTTTCAGCTTCAGCTGGACTGAAGCGGAGTGACACGTGGTCTGAAGGGGGGTGTTCAGGGTCACTTCCTACAAAGAGGGTTTGGCTTTGCACAACTGCAACAACTTTGATGTCTGCAAGAGTTGAAAGAGCAATGATGTGAGCGTTAGCGTCTCTGTGGCTGGTGGAGGCTGACGGCACGGTGATACGGCAGATGGAGCGGTGCAGGATAATTAGAGGAGGACAGACTCCATGAGTCGTCTAAACAGGCAGAGGAGCCTGCTGGCTACAGAGAGGACCTTGACAACAAAGCATGTCCGCTGGCAGCGTATTTTTATTTAATTTTTTTAGCAGATTGACCATTATATTTGGATGTTTGAAGCTCTCTGCCATCTCAGCTGTTCCACTGGGGTTTATACTGGAGTTGTGCGAGAGTCGGTCCATTTTTAGTGACCTAAAAAAGTTTTCAGCAAACTGTTTGTCCAATGAACTAAATGTGAATTATCAACCTCTTAAGTCCTGAGGGGTTTTCTTGAACTTTGTGCTAGAAGTAACATGTCCAAATGTAATTAATTACGTTATAAACCTTTTAAAGACATTACAAATAGGGCTAAAAAAACTTACTGAAACCATAAACCCAGTTGTAGAAAATTAAAAAAAAAAACAAATGTTCTTCCTCCAGTACTATGGATGTGGGGCTGAACAGATTTTAAGTATGTTTATGTAAAATCTAAATTACAAAGTACAAAATGATTTCAGAAAGGCAAAAGGTCCCCAAAAAATAATTGTTTGAATTGTTGCAATTGCTCAGGATTTCAAAGTCAGAGATGACTCAGGGGCTGGACATCCCTGGAGGGGATGGGGTGGTGGCCCATTAATGGTAAGTGAAACATTGCAGTATAATACAGTAGATCAAGCTTTATT